CACACACACACACACACACACACACACACACACACACAGGGACATTAACCAGGCTTCTCCTCCGCCAACATGTAATTTTATAATTGTCAGCTATTCAGAAATATAGACTTTCTGCCACGTGGACACCGTAACACACACAGCTGTTTTTGTTTTTTTGCTGATGGATCAGCGCTGATGGATACAGTGCTGATGGATACAGTGCTGATGGATACAGGGCTGTATCCATCAGCACTGTATCCACACGCCTGGCTGAAACGTTTGCGCCTTTGATGCTTAAGTTTAATTGCAGCACAGTCGCCCCACCTTCTGGTCATTACTGGTACTACGCTGGCTGGCTGCCTCTTTTCAAACAAAAGAAAATCAGGTTTAAAAGGCCCTAGAGGGAAAAGGGACCATTATCTAATAGCTATTTAAATGAATGAATGCAGCAGTGCATTGATTTGCTCTAGGACACCACACCGTACAATCATTACTGGCACCCAGCAATGTGAGTGCTGCAGTAAGAGTAATGTGTCGTTTCATTTGCAAGCTTCATTTAAGGGCTTCACAGAATTTAAGAGTAGACAGCTGAGGTCTGAGCACGGCTGTGCTTTTAGGATAGCCTTGCTTGCTTTAAACCGTACAGTGCTGAGTAGTGTCTCTCCTTATCTACCTCACAACTGTACAGTGCCAGCATTGTACTGTGGAGCAAAAAAAACAGAATTCTGTGACCATTAGAAGTGATTTGTGCTTCAGTCCAGTGCAGCATCATTCCAGTAACACACAGCTGATCTGCTTTCCTTGAACAGCAGGATGCAGCAGAAACAACACTTCAGGGTTTGGTTTGCTGCTGCAGGCATGCTCCACCCCGTCACACATGAAGCAGAGAACAGGGGAACATTTAAATGACAGAGGGAGGCAGCAATGGGGCTACAAGTTTGAAAATGCCTAAATACACACACACAAGCACGCTGGTGCATTTACATGAGAAATGAATTGCATTCAAACTTATAATGTGATTGTATATAAGTTGTACATAGAAGAAGTAGCTTTAATAGCAAGTTCTTAGTTACAAAGAAAGAGAGCAAAAAAAGGAAGCTGTGTGACTTCACTGACCAATCATCTTCATACTGGAACTCAAGGTGTACCCCACCCCCCAAATCTGTGTCACTTTTTTTGACACGCAGCACAGCGACATCTTTGAGCTGTGATTTCCATCATGAAGAGCAGGGAGGCAGGTGGTGTAGCTTGGTCTGAAAAAGAAGACCAGAGGATAAGAGTTTGGGACATGAACTTTAACGCCCATGGCCCATCTCACCCCCCCACCCCAGTCTTTTTTAGACTTGGGGGATTCCTGCTGAGCTACTACGCTAAACTGCATTTCAGTGTGAGGCTGATTAGTATGTGGGAGTGAGTACAAGCTGTAAATGTCTGGAGAGGATCCTCTGATGCAGAGAGCTCTGAGAACAGTCACCTATGAAAAACTGCTGGAGCCTTTTAGATTGTTTTGTTTGTTTTAAATAAAAAAAACAAGAAAATATCCCTCGTGTAGAACAGGTATGGTCAGTTTGAATTCACAAGCTGTAAGTGGAGTAGTGACATGTTTTCACTGCAGCAAAGAAAAGCATCGAATTTCAAACAAGTTTGTGCAGAATAACCAATTTCTCTGCTGCGTCTCTATATAAACCACCTTTAAAAGCTACAGGTTTTAATGGGGGGGGTGTTTGGCGTTGTCAACCTCTGCAGACTGACAGAACTGATGTTGTACAGATTGCAAGCAAAAAGGCCTCGATGTTATGTAAAGAAAACAAAAAAATTATATTTCATCACGTTGGATTGATGGAGGAGCTTTGTGCTTTGTGAAATTGTAGTCCAATTTGCTTTTTATTTGTAATGATGGTCTTATACATGATGCGGGATTTATAATATCATTTTTCCTTTTTCTTTCTTATTTAATGGTTCTGTAATATTAATATAAATGCTTCTGGAGATGGGAGCAGTTTTGCAGTTATGTTATTGTTTTGTATGAGCAGCGTAAGGTCGGGAGCCGAGGAAATCTGTTTTATTAAAGAATCCTTTCATTTAAACTTTTTAGCTTGGTATGGTAAATTTGATCACTTTCTATGTTTTTTGTTTGTTTTTCTTTGGCGCACATTGTAATGTCTTGATTTTAGAATACGGGCAAACACACTAGAATACAATTAGAGGTTTCCAGTACCCTGTCTTCCAGGTCAACTCAAGCTGTAATCTAAGGAGTACTGAAAGTGTTGCTATCAGTTTAGATTAGGCTTCCCTGACTGGTAAACTACACAAAGAAGAAATTTATGTTCAACAACATCTGCGAGCTGGAGTGTTTGTTTGTTTTTATTTTGTTTCTTTTGTCTTTTTTCCCTTGAGGTGTTTTTATGGTCTGAATTTATCTGTTCATTTGAATGTTTTCTAATAAAATGACACATGAAAGTGTGAGAGTGACTGGTCTCTACTAAATGCTGTATGTTACTCGGTGATTGTCGATGAGTAATATGTGAAGGAGCAAATTAAAGAGGGGAAGGTGGGCGTTGGCTGGGTGTGAAGGCCAGTGAAATTTGATAACTGAGTTTTCTCCTTCAAATGAAACACTTGTGCACTTTTTACAGAGATGAGACGTTTCTGGTTGCACAGTAAGCCCCTACAGTAGGAGGAGAGGGAAAGGAGCCATGCAATTATGATTCGAAGTTATGAGTGCTCAAAATGCTGGAGGAAACTTAAAATGCACCAGATTTGGACACAGTGTTATGTGCTTTGATAATATTCACAATATGAAGGTAAAAGGTTTCCTTGATTTATTTATTATTTCTTCTTTTTTTCAGTAAAAGTGATTGTGCAGAATGACAGCTGATGCATTCATAGGGGCTCACATGTAGGACGCTCCTTTAATTTTAATGGAGTGACTTGACTGCAGTACATGGATTGTATATTTAAAATAAGTAGACACGAGAAAATCATACAATTACAGGGATTAACATGAGCTATAAATTTATGTATGACATAAATATTTATTTTAGGGGAAAGTATTTTTATCTTCTTAATTTTAAGTTCTCTAAATGTTGTTCTGTGTTGGTGCAGTTTCGGGTTTGCTTTGGAGTCCACCCATCTCTTCTCATAACGAGGATTTTCCCTGAAAATAAAATCGATCAAAAGAAAGAAAATCTCTCGTCTTTCTCTTATTAAACAATACACACTGGTGATGATTTTAATCCACGGATATGACAAGAATATTTCAGATCAAGACCAAAAAACACTTCTGGGGCCAGAATTACATCTGTACATCTTCTGTGATGTGTTTATAGTTAATACGTCAAAGATTATTTCCTACTGTACTGATATAACCGGTAAGCAATGTTTGTTGACATGATTATTGATTGATGGATTGATTCCATCCATTATTTTCTTCCGTGTATCTAATTCAGGGTCGTGGGG